AATCAGTTTGTCTGATGATCGCAAATAGCGTGAAACCCAGGGTCTCAAATTCACATCAATCCAACTAAATATGTTAGCTCTATCACTGATATTGAGCGCTTTCCATTAAGTACCGCGAATATATAATATATAAAAATATATATAAAATTTACATATATATATGTATATATATATATATATACACATTTTTTATATATATATATATATATATATATATGTGTGTGTGTGTGTGTGTGTGTGTGTGTGAGGAACCATTAGGGAAGTCTGTATAAATTTAACGTTGCTCTACGTATTTAGTCTGATCAGTAATTTTGAAAATGGAATTTTTTGGGGTTTTTTTTCGATTATACATTCTTTTGTTTTTGTTTTCATTCTTTGAGCAGACATTACGAGTTCATTTTTACGGTGTTAGTGATGTTGTACTTCTTGAAATCTTAGCATAATTTTAGTGATACTAAAAATTGGGTATATAAGTATATTTAATTGGAAGATAAGTACTACCTATGTTAGAAGCGTGTGTTTTATACTAGGTTGCAACATTTGCAAATGTTTTGAATCTCACATTCTTTAAGTATAGATTTTAGGAACATTGGTTATATGAAAAACTGAGTTCGATGAGACTTTATGTTGATAATTGCCCTTCTTGGTTGTGTTCATTGACACCATTTTACCATTTTTTTTTTTAATTCAAAATTATGGCCTTTTACCGTTTATGCGAGAAAAGGAATTAAATTGGTTAACCCAACGGAGATCTCTTTTATATTCCTAAATGCAGGTCTTTAGTTTTCTTGATGTCCCGCTTATATATTTCTTATATCGTTTTAAACAGAATATCTTATATATTTCAGCTTCCGATGCATTGTTAGTTCCATGTTTTTTGAACAAATCTTTTTTTTGTATGCTAGTGGTTAAAAATTTAGTTTTTGGGAAGATTAAAGGTTTTTCGTCAGTCAGTTTGCAGAATTATATACTTAGCATTTTGGGTGTTAAGAGTATTTGCATTTTTTAATCTTATGGATTTTGGATTTTGTTCTTCTTGCGTCGAGAATGAAATAGTAGGAAATAGCGAAGAAGTTTGAAAGCTTGTTTTTTTTTTATTTCAATATAAGATTCTTCATGCACAAGATCTCACAGAGCTCCTATTTTCTAAGAGCTCCTAGATAGAAACATCTAATTAATCCTTATTTTCTTTTGACGTTAAGACGGGGGAAAAATTAACTGGTTCATTTTATTTGTTGATTTTGGGTAATTTGACGTCAAATTTATTATCTCGCATTTATATAATAGCAAGAAAAGGTAGGGTGTTGTTTATTTCTTCTTCGTCTGTTTTCTACAGTAGATTCGATATTATTTACTTTTTCATATTATGTTTGATAGGATTTTATTTTGAAAGAATATTAGTAAAATGTTATCTGACTTTTAGGTAAAATATGTTTAAATGGATCAGATTTTAAATATTCAAAGAATAATTATCCAGAAGCTCTGCATATGGGGAGGATTCCATCGTTAAAAATGTTTCGTTTGTCAAAACTATTTTTGAAAGAAAAGAAGCAATGTTTACCAATTAGTTGGCACCAATGCATGATTTTGTTTACCTGTAAAAGAAGTTTTTCTTTAGATTTGTGGATTGGTTTCTCAGGATGTTTAGGGATTTTTGTCAAGTATATTAGTGCTTAGATCTGTAGCGATATCAGTGTCAGCTGTATCAAACTTACAGCAACCGCCGTCTATCTAACTCTCTGCATTAGCAGGGAGGAACCCGGACGAAGCTTTGCCGAAGGACAAGGTTTCGTTCGGGGAGGTTATGACAGCTTTCGAACTCGCCTAGGCGAGTCGAAGGCTATATTTTTGGCCGGGCCTACGGGCTCGGGTGACCACGTAAAACTCGGCCTTGTGCCACATGCGACCCCTTCGTGGGAGGACAGCTAAATATAAATATAGCTGATATTTTATATGGACCCACCTGCAACGCGTCAAAGGAGGTCAGCTTAATGGGTGTATCTCTCAAGAACCAGTTCAAACGATCCTGACAAAGGAGGTCACCGAGTAAAGCCATACCATGAGTTCTTGATTAATTACTTTTTCAGACATTAGTTGGCATAACAAAGAAAGATGTTCTCTATAAGACAGTGTCCCCTAGTGCGGAGGGATATAGAGCAGACAGAGAGAGGCGTGATCGCTAGCACTCTACACGAAAGGAAATTACGCCCGTTAGACGGTTGCTAACCACCACCACTCAATACATCTCACCTCTGCCTCATTTCTCTACAACAGAAGATTAAAATCAGAATAAAATTTGTTTAATGCTACAACCGTTTCATGGTTTTATTTCTGTGACAAAACGTTTAACTGACAGAAGCTGTACCTGGAGAACGAACCTTCGTGCCTGATCTGAGCTTCAACGCTACAAATTCTTGACATTTACACACGCCATAATTTTGCTTTTCATATCCATGTTTTGGTTTGTGAAATAGAACACCAAAGTGTTTAATGTGAAGGGTTGATTACGTAGTTTAAATTAAGTAATAGTTTCTGTTCGTTTTAACCTTCTAGTTTTCTCTATTCTTTCCCAGCAGTCGAACAACTGGTAATAACCTGACTTGGATTAAAGCTGGGTTTCTCCAAGAAACAGGCAAAAATACTGCTTAGAGAAAAAAATCACTGGTTTTTATAGAATGTCACTTGGTGATCCAGTCAACAAGAGTGAAATCACCATTAAAAGCTAAAAGTCCATAGCTGGTTGACCGAAGGTTGTCAGCTGAATCACTACGCTGGACATTACATTTTATTTATCTCTTCAACCACAGATTGTACTTAGGAAAGAATTTAAAACTTTATTTTTTGTGGTGTGAGAGGCATTGTCAATGCTGGATACGATTGGTCAAATTCATATGTTGTGTTATGTGTTTTGGGCAAGTCGTATATTGTGGGTGTTATTGGATTATATTCAGTTAGTTTTTCCCATGTTTTGTTTTCATTTTTCAATAATTTTGTTAAATTATTGTGTATCTAAATTGACGGCGTGTTCTTTTTCTTCGTAAGTACCGTCATCTTTCAATAGAGATTATAATTTTTCATAGAACTGTCGTCATAGATAACGGCCAATATATATTGGCCGGTATCTATGACGACATATCATAGAACTGTTGTCAGAGATGCCGGTCAATATATAGTGGCCGGTATCTATGACAAGAGTTCCATCACATTTAACGGGTGGACTATTAATTATTTTATTGTTCTTTTAATAGATTGAATCTTCTGAATAATCTTGTTGCTTTGATATTAAATATGGCCTCCACGTTCTCTTGTGTGATTTTTTGTTTTCAAAATCTGCGCTGGCTTGTCTGCGGTCCCTAATTTTGGTGGATAATATGTCTTCTTTTTTAATTCCTGTTGAAAATTTTAAGCTAAAGCTCAATGCTTTCAGATCTGTGATGTATTTGTTTTTTTGTTTTTTTTGTTTTGTTTTTTTGTTTTTTGGGGGATGGGGTCATACAACATAAGTTATTAAGGATTAAACGTACACACGGTAAACACCATGAGGTAAACACATGACGCCTTCACAACATAATATATAATATATATATATATATATATATATATATATATATATATATATATATATATATATATATATATATATATATATATATATATATATATATATATATTACATATATATATATATATATATATTACATATATATATATATATATATATATATATATATATATATATATATATATATATATATATTATATATATATATATATATACATATATATATATATATATATATATATATATACATATATATATATATATATATATATATACACGCGCATGTATATGTGTGTGTGTGTGTGTGCGTGCGTGCGTGCATACTTAAACCATAAAATTAACACGGGACATTATACATATAATGAAAACAAAACACCACAGAAGTTAAAAAATAAAACAAATCTGCATTATTCCATTTCCAAAATTTCCGATGAAGTTAAATAAATAATGAAATATGAATTTATAATGTTCTTTTCCTTATAGATCGTTATTTAATCATTCTGTCGGATTTAATTCATGTTCTTCACTTACATCTATATATATATATATATAAATGTCGAAAAACGCGCTTGTATATAATAAATATTTCGATTAATTTAACTATAATTGTTTCAGATGTATTAATATTTTAATGTTTCTTCATATAATCTTCAGGATTCTTATGAATTAAATATACATTATTTTATTCTTCTTTATTGTAGAATTTATATGGAAAATGGAAAAGAAATATCGCTATGTTATTAAATTCTAGAAAGCCACTTCCATACAATATTCTCATGTTTATCTGACAAAGTATACTTTATTTCTCCTTGAACTTTTGTTATTTTGATTTCACTTCTGTACTACAAGATTTATCATTGAATATTCATATTTGACCTGGAAGGTGTTTAATTAAATTTCACGTTTGTCCTGGTAGATTTTTAATTAAAATGTCAAGTTTATCCTAGATTGCTAACTTAAAACTCGCTTTTTTTCTGGAATGTTTTAAATGTAAATCTCGCGTTTTTTTTTTTTTAACAAATCTGAAAGGGGAAATTATAAATTATTCTTTAATTTGAACTTTGTCCCTAAATTTAAAACGCAACAGATTCTCAGGCTTATGGCCATAACACCGGTTCTACTACGATTATCGAAGTTTAGCAACGGTGAGCCTGTTCAGCACCTCGATGGTTGAATGCTTGGGTATACCATTTGCTGTAAGCTTGGACGTGCATATTATTTAAAGCCAGAAAATACTTTTAGATTACAAGAAATCTTTGGAAATACTAATGATTTACTGGCACAAGTTCTACTAATTAACCCATGGCAGGTGGAGGAAGTGGTGGATACATACCGTTCCCAAGTGTAAATGAATATAACGAACCCGATTGGAATTGGAAACTTGCTCTCTGATTTTCAATGTTGAACTGTTATCCATTACACCATGCACGCATCCAAGCTTACAACACCTGATATTCCCAAGCGGTCACCCTTCTAAGTACTAACCAGGCTCAACGTTGCTTAACTTCGGCGATCGCACGTGATATGATCGCAAGCTAGGTACAACCAGGATTCTTTGAATAATGCCTTTCTCAAGACTATTTGGGTAAAGATAACATTAACAGGTACGCTCAAGTTGTTTGTTTTTATTTTCTTTTATCAGATCTATTTTTATAATCGCAACGAGTAGATCTGATTTACAACTTGTACTCTGAAAATCGGGTTTTGATGACTTTCTCCAAGGTTGAAATAGTTTATTCAAAAGCAATCGTTTCACAAGCATGTTTACTGTAACAACTAAGGCCCACAGCCAAGAAAATCACGCAATTCATCCTATCTTAAACATTGTACACTTACAGTAATGCGAGCTGGGGTTATCTGTTCTTCTTAACTCTATAATGAAAGAACAGATATCATGGCGTTTTCGGCGTGTTTTCCCTAAAAAGCCCATCTTGAACGATTCCAGCTACGTGTTCATATCACATTTGACAATAGATACTCTTTTTACTTTGTTGTGGCAAACGATATTCATTCTTTATCAAAAATAAGGTTTATAGTTTATATTAGTCTTCTACTCTTCCATACTTCTAAGATAGAACATTTGTTTCGCTTAGAATATTGGAATAAAAACCAAAAGATCTCCGCTGTAATAATATATATTATGAAATATTCAATTTTACAAGATACCTAATTTTAGGCCCACTTGGTGTAAAAGATAATATTAGAGGCACTGAATTAAAATAGGAATTAATTAATATAGTTTTGGCAGATTATCGATTTTTACATAATATCACACATATTTAAACTTCCTCTTGAGCAAATCATGTTAGCTATAAACTACAAGATGAAGAAAATCCTTTTCGCACTGATGGCAATAAAAAGGTTTTACGAGTTTGTTCGGTCAGTTTCATATATCTTTTCAAAGTATACGTATAATATATAAAATGTGTTTGTTTACCAACTCTAGAAGTGGAATGAAAATAATGAGATGGTCAGATATAGATTTTTTGTAATCAAAACTTATTACAGAAGCCATTTTATTTCTCTTGCGCAAACTTTTGCGACAAGGCCCACAGAATACGCTACAAGTTTCTATTAAAAAATAGTAACCATATCGCTTCATCGTTAGTCCGTTAACTACATTTTATTTTATTTTTACATACTGACCGTATTTCGTGATAAACAAATCGTGAAAATGAATGTTTCCACTGAGTAAAAAAAGATGACTATTTGTAAAGAGGATATACAATAGTAATATTATTATTACTGCCCAGTTAGTTTTTCTCTAACTACCCACTTTTTCCTCTTTCAAAACGGCTGACTTTTGAATACATACAGAAATCAAATAGCTGTCACAGAATTTCTGTTTTTAGAAAGTGAAAGTACTGCAAATATTCATTGGAAGTTATTGAATGTTTAAGAAAAGGCTTTACTCGATGTAAGCGCAATAAAGAGATGTGGTGTTACAGTTAATTGCATTCAGAGAGAAAAGAGAAACTGACGTTAGTGACAGACTCCGCAGTAGAAGGATATCTGCTTCTTGCATCGTGGATTTGGACAAACTGTCTGATTCACTAACTACAGCTAAAAGAAGCATCACTATTGCAGATCTCGATTAATGCTTTTAGATTAGCGATGGTAGGGCCTCTTGGTTTAAAGATGTATAAAAGGATTAGGGTGGTTGTTTTTGGAGATGCCCAACAATGATAGCACCCATTGACTCTGGCTGTTTTCCCATGATATTGAGGGAAACGAGGCAACTCTAACATGACTAAGAAAGTCTTCAAAAACCTTCTACAAAGAGTGTATATAGCTCTGGCGTAAAGGTAGAATAACAACATTTATAAAGAATTAAATTATATCGATGGCTAGATTTAAAATCCGTAGATTCTTTAAATTGTGCTTTTATTTTGACCACAAAATGGTTTCCTGAATATATTTTCAATGTTTCTACTCCTGGTACATCTTGCGTCCTCGGAGATATTTAGTGCGTATTTTCGATGGAAGTTTCTTTTTCCTGCTAAAGGTATTAATACATTATGCACAGATGTCCATGATTTGTTTGCGGCTGCTGATTGTCGTCATCAACATACAGACACAAAATTCGAATGATTGTAAAAAGGAGAAAAAAAAAAATTCAACGAAGTCAGATGTTTTCCATTCAGTTGCCAAATATTGCATAAAGATATATACACATCTCCGGAAGATTGTCGAAACAAAGTAGATGTTTTAGTTTTCGATTATAAGACATTATGAAATAATCACCTTTTTTACAGAGTAGCGCGATTTTCCGAGACCAGACGAGAAATAATGCTTCAATGCAATATTTGGTAATTATAGCTTTAATTTACTATAGCTTCGGAAATACGCACTTTTATTGCGCTGGAGGGTGTCGTCAGTGATGTAGTTACTCAGGTCATTGGGTAGTTTCGGGCCTTACAACATCATACCATCCTCGCTGAGTCGACCCCCCGTCAGAGCTGATCAGGCTCCGACGCACCCTCCTTCTGTACCACGCTATGCGACACTGATTTTTATAATTGTCTCAGCCGACTTTTACTCGATACTAGCAGGATACACATAGGGAAAGTACATAGCGCTCAGGTAAGTTGGGTTATTCAAAAAGTCAGAAGGAAGAAATTTTTGTTAATTTGTTACTAGTTTTTAAGTTTATATATTAAAAACAGTGATAATAATTTGCCCCATCCAGAATGACTGAAGGTTAACCGATTAAAATAAATGTACTTATAAAAATTTGAGTACAATAAACTACATCTATATGCGTTTATACAAGTTTCCCGGTTTACAGTTGAAATGCCACTATTAAATTATCCCCCCACCCCTCAACAAGAAGAAAAAAAACTTTTTTTTTCTGTATTATAATTTAATATGACTTTCGGTCTAAAATTATGTACAAGACAGTAATTCCCTAATCCCCTGAAAAAATGAGTTTTTTCGAAAACTTAGAACCACGAAAAAAAAAAAAAAACATCGACGTGCGCGCATATATACCTACACACACACACACACACACACACACACATATATATATATATATATATACAAATACACACACACATATATACAAATACACACACATACACATGCACACACTCAAGTGTCGTTCTTAAAGTTAAAATTCCAATAAACTAACCTACGAAAGATAGATAACTAATATAAATAATAATGATATACCCCGCCCCAAAAGACTGAAGGTTTGACGTGTAAAAACTAAAAAGAAAGAAGTTATACGAGCGAAAAAAAAAAAAAAAAAAATTACATTGATATGCGTATGTACAGAATTGTCGTTTAAAATTGAAAATTCACCAATTACCCCCCGAATAGATAAAATGAAAAAAAATAAGTAAAAAGGGTTGGCAGTAATGATAAACCCCGAACGACTGGCGCTTAAACGATTAGAATAAATGAATATATCAATTTTAGTTAAATTCCATCGGTATATGAATATACAGATTTGTTGCTTATATACATATATACATATATATACATTTTGCTTTCCGTTGAAGTGGCAACTTTTAAATTTATGTACAATTTGATCAATGCAAACGCATAGTTTAGATTAAAAAAACAAAAGATAATAAAACAAAAAGAAAGAATAGCACAAGCAAGGGAAATTCAGCAGTAGTAAAAGCTTCGAAAAGAAAAACAGTCTTCCAAACGCTTAGTGTGTGTTAATAAGTATTTTCTGCAAGTAATAATTTAAATTTTGCTTTTATTTTATTATAACTTTATTTTACTATAATTTTATTTTGCTATACCTTTGTAATATACTATGAAGACTCTGGGCGTAACTATATAATACGTAGATAGATTACCTGTGATTACATTGTAATGACCTAAGTGCAGAAATTTAACGATCTAGGAAGTGTTATGACAGACAATGGAAAATGGGACGCAGAAATCCTAAGCTGCGGTGGAATAGCGAAATATACCTTAGAAAAGCTAAGCAAAGTATTAAGAAACAAAATAAATGTCACTGTAAACAAAGATTATAGTGCCAAACTGGATATGTAATACCTGAGCTCTTATATGGCAGAGAATGCTGGGCAATCGATTCACGGATGAAGTGTTCTGAGGCAACAGAGATATGGTTCGACAAACGTGTACTGTGAATATAATGGACGAAGGACGAGAAAGTTTTAAGGAAAATAAAAAAAATAATACTTGTGCTTAGAATCAGAAAAGGACATTTTAAATTTCTTGGATACATAAGGAAAGAGGACTTAGAGAACCTGACACTCAAAAGACATATGGAAGCCAAGAGGGACAGGGAAGTAAACAGAGTAAAATACCTAACAAGCTTGTATACATGAATGGCAGAAAAGAATTAGAAGGGATAGTATGGTGACAAATATAGCTTATAGCTATATATAGGAAGTTGTAGAGAGCCATGATCATCCACGCCCCGAAGGAACAAGGCACATAAAATTATGAATTATGAAATAGGTAGGGAATTTGATCAGTAAAAACTTTTAAAGAAAATATACTAAGAGTATGTAATTAGCTGAATCAAGAAAGTTATATAAGTTGTGTTTTTGCATTGTTTTTTATAGTGTACTATTAGTTTTCAATAGTTTTCGTACCATTCACCTAGGAAAAGGTAGAAATCTGTCACTTCTTGGTAGGGCGGATTTGGCTCACTAGTATTGGATGGCAATCCGTCTAAAAATTATAATCATTTTAGTCCTTAAAGCCTTTATAGTCATAAAAAGTCCACCTTTTGTAATTGTCCTACCCTATATTCCATGTGTTATATTTATTATATCATTAGAATCTGAATTTTTTTTTTTTTTTTTAGATTATCACAGAAAGCATTTTAATATCAACTAGCTTAAAAACCGCACTAACGGGCAGCATTTAAGCTAGCTCCTACGTAGGGCTTTTGATTGGGCCTTCGGCTTCTTCAGGAATTAGAGTCCCTAAGTTTTTACATATTCTCAGCATTGATAGCTCTCCTGGCTGCCGTTTGATCTGGGTTTTCGTTTGCACGGGACTTTCTTTTCTTCACTACAGCCTTGGGTCTTT